GGAATAGGGGAAGGGAAATAAGAAGGAAGGGTTACTACTCAGATGCGCACCAGGTGCCCATGAAACCCGGCTACGGTGCCCTACCGCACAGCATCCTTTACATTCGTGATGGAAGTTACAATAACAAAGTACCATAACCAGAGTGAATAGGGAACAGCAGTGTAGGCATTGTTTAGTTAGGATATAAAAGTGATTAAGATACACGTGTGTGCTATATATAAAAAGTACTATACTTTTATTCATTAAACAGTAGAAATAAATTGACACACTTACTGCAAAAACGAGGACAGCGTATCGAAGTGTTTACCTCGGCACCGTTCTACTCGTTACACTTCCTTTTACCAGTGAATGTCAACTCCACAACCATTCTATGGTTACAGAGCTCTATTTAAGCATTTTTTTTATGATGTGTGTATACGCATTTAAACCGACTTAGTCGGTGTTTCCTCACTCCTGATGAGGCACAATTTATAAATTACACACCGATGGGAAAGAATACCTCCCGTACGTCTGAGTAAAAAAGAAACCAATTTATATATATATAAGGAAAGAAAGATTTGTCTGCTAAATAAAATGAAAAAGAAGGAATATAATTCCAATTAGAAAAACGATCTCGAGTCAGCTTATAGGCACCTGCCACAATTTTACCGTTCTACATCCCTGTCTAGTGTATGTTTCCTGCGGTCACCCTCTTCACGCACATTGCCCCCTGTCATTGTTCAGCGAGGACACTCATTTCTGCCAGAACTGCCGCAAGCGTGTAATCAAGTAGTGCATAACCCTAATTGTACTAAATGTCTCACTGTTGTCTTCGATGATATTTATGTTTTTGTGGAAATAATTGGATATGTCGTTGTTTTCGTCAGCACTTATGTGATTGTATTGGTAGGTACTATTTTCTTTACTTTTGTGATTATTTGCGTCAGTACTTTCGTCTTTATTTTCATCAATTTCATTGTTGGGGTAATTGTGTTCAGGGCACATCACCTCATATGGTGCACACGTGATTGCACCAGACTTAAACGCACCACTGTAGTCCGAAAGCACAAGGGTAGTACCGGGTGGACAGTCCACGAAATCACTGGCGCCCTTCACGCGCACACGGTACCTCGAGGTGTCCTTGTCACACTGCACGTCTGCGCAAATAGAGAGCATATTTTGGCGATTGCTTATCCTGATGAGAGTATTTGGGATAGCTGAAAAGCATCGCGCATATTCTGAAAACACAGAACCAGGGAGAATACTTGCATCCCCATTTGAACACATAGTGTTTAAATATTCTTTTATATATGGGCAATAATCCATCCGGTCATCTATCCCACCGATTGTTGGATCGTGGAAGTACTGGAAATATCTTGGCAAGTTATCATGAATGTTTAACATGCAGTCACCAATTCCCATCCGATCTGATGTACACTTATACATATTTATAGAAGTAAATTGACTTTCACAGAACATCGCCGGCACCTGCGACACACCGTCAATAACGCACTTCTTATCAAAGAGCACACAACCGGCATTCTTACCCCATGTCATGCTTTCAGCATTGCGGTAGTTGCCTTTGTAGTAGCCCGTGTCCTCCATCGCTGCTATGGTGATGGCAGTGTAGAAACCTGCAGAATCGGAAGGAGCCATCAACTCGTCCTTTGCGTTGCGCATCTTCCAGTGTGAGCCAACAGACCCCGTGCCATTCATATTCTCCAACTCCACGTACTTCATGGTACTGCACCCGTAATGAGCCCTCGCGACTTCCACCACTTTGGGCGACTTCAGAACATAACTTGCTGGTTTATTACGAACAGACACAGTATCAAGCATATTTCTGTTTTTAAATATAAAATTTGTAAATCCCAACGCATGCAGTATCTCGTGCGCTAGAGTACGTGAGGAATGAATACTGTCAATAATGTCTACAGACCCAATATTTGCAATACCCACCAAGGGGCGGCCACTGGGGTTAATCTGACACATAACTGCCCAGGCGAGATTACTAGGTACAGTTGGTCCCGCCGCTACATACAGCACGAAATCGGTATCCGGTACACCAGTGTCGTGGTGAGACTGGGGGACAGTAAACTGAGGGCAGATTCTTCCCATGAAGCGTTCTACACGGATATTATCTCTGAGCGGTTGCACCAGCAGGCGGTCCTTGTGCATCTGTATCGCGTT